ATTCACACTAAAAATCTCGTCTCTGTATCCCGAATTTCACTCCTTCGAATCGATCCACCTATCATCTCTTCTCCGACCCGTCAAAAAGTCCAGGCGCCATCGTCGTCCTCTTTCTTCCGCCCTCGCCTCGATTCGAACCGGCATAAATGAAAAGGAGGAATAAAAGAGTGGCAGGGACATCAAAGAGTGCTCGACGGCTTCCGGACAGCCGTTGTTTGGTAGACGTTATCATCATTACCGCTGGCGCGCGTTCGATTGTTTGTGTGCTTAAGATGGCGGCTTGTATCAGGAGCGGTGTGTTCTCCGCGAAAGAAAAATATACGAACGCCGTCGCGGCACAAAAGAAGCCTCGAGAACGAGAGGGGAGGGGAAGCGGTGATATTAACGCTCCCGGCCGTGGCTGCGAACACTCAAAACCGTGGAAACGAGTCGGAGAGAGCGGCTCGTGCCGGTTAACCCCATTCGTCACCTGCCAGAAAAAACCAGAGACGCGCCTTTTAGCGCCTCGTCTTAAACGTGGCCCGGAGATCGAGCCGGGTGTCAAAACAAAATGTCCGCTCTCTGTCCGGATTCGACGAAACTGTTCGTTCGAACCGTAAGACGGAAGTACGCGGAAAAGTACGAGACGTTTTCACGGAATTAAGATCTCCGGAGGTTTCTCTTCAGATTCTCTTCTTAACGTTTGAACGTGTTTTTTTTCTTTCTTTTTCGAGATACATTCAGGTGGGTGTGTTTATTCACAATGTTGAATTAGAATACCATACACTCTCTTTTTTATTTGTTTGCTCGTTTTGGTTGAGACGTCGACTTGTATCTGGTGGGTTGTAACACGTGAAATTGCTGTTTTTGGAGGTTGAAGTAACGAGGATGTGTTTTTTAACCCTAAAGCGGTCTTCGGGTCATTTTTGACCCACCGCCTTTTTATATCTTTAGTCATTTTTGCTGTTATCAAGTTTACGTTCCTTAACATTATTTTAAACGTTTATTGTCTAGGTTCATATATGGCGCTGGAAAGAGAAATTATTACTTAGGTCCTTTTTCACCCAAAAGTCTCAAGTGTACAGTCAAAACGAAGACTGCTCTAGGGTCAAAATAATTGTCTTTATTTAATGAAAGTGTGCATTATCTGTATTTCATTTTTATAAAAATTAACGTCTTTTTAAATTGATAAATTCTTTATATACTTTGGCATGATTAAGCTGCTCTGTGGTCTACTTTAAATTCGTATGGAAAAAGTGTTCTAAATTCCTCAGGAAGCATCGTATTGTTTGCTTGCGTGAAACAGTTAAAGAACCATGAAAAGGAATTCAATAAGCAAAGGAAACACAGGAGCGTAACTTGGAAATAATCGCTAATCACGGTTACTAATCGCGATTAATTACCAATTATTGTGAAATCAGCTATTTCATGTGGAAGAACCTAATAAAAATATTAAGTATATACGTAGAGTATGCTGATCACGATTGATCGTCAATTAATCTCACATGGATAATTTCAATAAAAAATATAAATTACATAGAATTTCCTAATTTGATATCGATAATTTTAATAAAAATATAAATTACATAGTTTCCTAATCTGATATCGATAATTTCAATAAAAATATAAATTAAGTAAAGTTTCCTAATCACGATTGATCGTCAATTATTCTCACATCGATAATTTTAATAAAAATATAAATTATGCAGAGTTTCCTAATCTGATATTGATAATTTTAATAAAAATATAAATTATGCAGAGTTTCCTAATCTGATATCGATAATTTTAATAAAAATATAAATTAAGTAAAGTTTCCTAATCACGATTGATCGTCAATTATTCTCACATCGATAATTTTAATAAAAATATAAATTATGCAGAGTTTCCTAATCTGATATTGATAATTTTAATAAAAATATAAATTATGCAGAGTTTCCTAATCTGATATCGATAATTTCAATAAAAATATAAATTAAGTAAAGTTTCCTAATCACGATTGATCGTCAATTATTCTCACATCGATAATTTTAATAAAAATATAAATTATGCAGAGTTTCCTAATCTGATATTGATAATTTTAATAAAAATATAAATTATGCAGAGTTTCCTAATCTGATATCGATAATTTCAATAAAAATATAAATTAAGTAAAGTTTCCTAATCACGATTGATCGTCAATTATTCTCACATCGATAATTTTAATAAAAATATAAATTATGCAGAGTTTCCTAATCTGATATTGATAATTTTAATAAAAATATAAATTATGCAGAGTTTCCTAATCTGATATCGATAATTTCAATAAAAATATAAATTAAGTAAAGTTTCCTAATCACGATTGATCGTCAATTATTCTCACATCGATAATTTTAATAAAAATATAAATTATGCAGAGTTTCCTAATCTGATATTGATAATTTTAATAAAAATATAAATTATGCAGAGTTTCCTAATCTGATATCGATAATTTCAATAAAAATATAAATTAAGTAAAGTTTCCTAATCACGATTGATCGTCAATTATTCTCACATCGATAATTTTAATAAAAATATAAATTATGCAGAGTTTCCTAATCTGATATTGATAATTTTAATAAAAATATAAATTATGCAGAGTTTCCTAATCTGATATCGATAATTTCAATAAAAATATAAATTGATATCGACAATTTCCATAAAAATATAAATTATGTAGAGTTTCCTAATTTGATATCGATAATTTTAATAAATTACGCAGAGTTTCCTAATCACGATTGATCGTCAATTATTCTCACATCGATAATTTCATCTGGTGCAACCTAACAATTAAACAACTATCAAACGCGTAAATTCGCGAAGAATTCGAATCACAGAAAAATCGAGAACATCAATTATAAAAATTACCTGAACTCACTAATTCTATTATTAAACCTGCGTCATTTCCGCGCAACTGTCCTCACTCGTCGTTCTGATCGAGTTTGAAATCGCGGAACCGTTTGCAACGAATTCGATGAAAATGAAAACCTGGTGTGTCTGCCAGCCGGCCAACTTCCAGACGGGATAGTTAATATAAATTTGACGGTCGATTTATCAGAGTGTAGCTATTCTCGTCGTCTAATTCGCGACGCTCCTCTCGAAAGAGGAAGAGAGAGCAAGATTAATTAAAGGTAGCAAATTCGTCGTGACAAAGGAAGCATTTTGCACGGCAACTTTGCCGTCGCCTGAGATTTCTGGGCAATCGAGAGGAAAAAAGTAAGTACAGGTCGCAGACGCTGATCGCCTAACAGCTGCTTCCTAGAAAAGAGGACGCGTAATCGTGTCTACTTGCGATTTCGACGAATTCGCGACATCGACACGATGTAGATAGTTGTTACGTCCGTTTAGAATTTGGCTTGTCCAACGGGTTAACGAAGATTCATTCGCTAAGTCGAGGAATTTGTGTCGCCGAGAAATTTCTGCGGATTTTTGCGAAAGTGAAGGTGCGGAGACGATGAAAATATTGAAATTGTTTATTTGGCAAAGTTCTCGTGAAAAATTGTCGAGGAGAGCAGAGAGATTGAATTGTTGTTACAAGAACTGTTTGAGCTAAGTTCGTTCATCGCTTTGAGGATAATAGTTAAGACTTTTGTGACCGAAGCATTTTTTTTTTTAAGAATTTTCTTATTTTGTTTATGATGGATATTTAATTGAGAGCAATTTTTGTTGGAGTATTCAACTGGTCACGAAAG